AATATGGAAATAACGTAATAAAACATCAGTGGAAACCGGCTGCAGTATGAAATTACCCGAAATTTCCCCGGGGGTGCTAGTAGAGTTCGTTCACCAAAATAACTGAAATGTATTGTTGCGGTACGATCTGAAAATTCGAATGAAAAAGTTTTCGGCCACCTTTCACGATACCTCTCGATGGCTTATTCGTTAAATAAACTTTGCGGAGGCGGGAAACTGTACTGCAAAATGTGTGTGGCGCTATTTTGTATAGCGATATTAGCCGACCTTAATTATAAAGGTTCCAATTGTGGAGCGACCAGTCACCTTCGCGTAAGAAAGGTGAAGAAACAACTAGTTTCATCGCTGTAGCATGAGGCATAGCTACTGGTCACTCTGTAAAATAATTAAACCAAAGTATGCCTGAAATTATAAGAAGACTGAAATCATTTTGTTTAGTCTGGACTCCGATTTCATTAGTTAAAGAGAGAAGTTTTATACATACGTTGCTACGTTGATATGTACGAACACGATAAACAAATAATAATTAATATTCGGTTGCAAACTTTATTTCCGTTCAAAAGAAGCAAGACATTTGATCTGACAACGTTTATTGTACCGATAGGACACGAACCGTGTAGGATACGAACAAAGATTACGAAGATTGCGTAAAACCTCCGAAAAATGGACAATGTGGAGCGATCACGCGTGTAACACTCGGAGCATTCACGAAACTAAGCAATAACATTTTTTAACCCGAGCCCGTCGTTAGGTGCGGCAGAAAAATTCCCACTCCAGAATAAAAGCTTCCCTTCGACGGAAGTAGAAGTAAAAGCACCGATGAACAGTTGAAACAGTATATTTTGTTTAGGTGAAAAGGTTAAGTTATATCCATGGCCCATGGACATTTGCGCAACAGCGAAAAGTTGCTTGGCCCTACCACAGATGAAATAAATAATTATTTAGTCAATAGTATCATGAGAAAATCGTTTAGTATTTTTAAACGTCAAAACTACTCATAAACGACAAGCCCAAAAGTAAGTATGTCGGAAGGTCTTCCGCCACTGACTATCCTTCTGCATGTCAGCCATGTTTTTAAGTGAGAAGTTAGCCAGCGAACAGACGGTTCTCATGATCTTAAGTGATTGCCACCTATTTAAACAACTAAGAGGTTGCACATGCGTTGCCAACCTTTAAACAAGTTGGCCCGGCTACCTCACTCATCAGACAAAAAGGAGAAGCGTTACACTAAATATATTTAGAGTTCAAGCCATTTTTCTGTGATGTCGTGGTGTTACCCTAGATTTATCTTCCCATTGGTGCAACATTGCAACGGCAAATGCCACTTAGTGGCACAAGTGTACTTATAAAAATAGATTACGCGGTGCCGTGGTGAATATCTCTGTGAAATGCAGACAAAATTTTCTTTGAAATAGGAACGGCTGAGCAAAATAATAAATGATGATAAAAAGGATGGCCGCGCCACACACACTGGCACAATGAGGAATGGTAGCGGAAATATTTCAACGGTAATGGCGGGAAATGTTAAAAGTATTTACAAAATGGCGTCACAACAATTTGTGCTGTGGGCCGTGCGTGATTTGTAGTTTGTAGGTCGCTGCGAACCGCCGATACGGAATCGGGATAAAATTAAATGTACAAAAATGACTGGATGCCCGTTAAGCTATTGGATTCTGAATTTCTTTTATCGCAAATGAAAAGAGGTCAATTAACAATTGCGGAATTGAAACACGAAGCCTTTGATAGTTTTTATCCAAAACACTAAAAACCCTAAGCACCTAAATAGGTCATTTTGGATAATAAGGATGCTTCAATGGATAATATAAATCGCAAAGGAAAGTTCCAAATTGCTTACATACAAGTAAAAATAAAAATCTGTATTAAAATTTTTAAATGGAATGAAATCATGTCATTTTGAACGCGTTGGCACAGACACGTTATAATCTTGTAAAGTTATGTTCATTTCTTGTTAACAAAAAGTTAAACAATCACGCGAGCCTAAAGCCACGCATTAGCTTCTGCTGTTGCGAATGGGCAGGTTGGTCTTTTGTGCTTCTGTGAAGGTGTACGAGCTAGACGGATACTTAGAGTGTGAACTGGCAACACATGTAATAATCACATATGATATCCACCAGGTGCTGTACATTTACATAGGTGGTGGCTGGCAATCACTTAACATAACGTGAACCGTCTATTCGCATGCCAAATATTCACATAAAAAGTAGTTTACAACAGTAGTTTATAATGGATCCGAGAAAAAAAAAACGTCATGATTGAGCAATGATTCGCAAATAGAAACGCGCCAGTAGTGTCATCGAATAATATGGCATTGACTACGTGATATTAACGTGTGGAAATTCGATTATTTATCAATAAATAAGGATGACGCGTTTAATGATATAAACGCGTCATCCTTATTTATTGATAAAATCATCATCGAATTAATTTCACAAAGAATTTGTGAAATTAATTCGCCCTATGAGATATGAGCAAATGGATTGTAGGTGTTGGATATCAAATAAATATGAAGCGATATCAAATAATATATTAAACAACCGATCATGTTCGCTTTATTTTATAAAAATAATAAAGCGCGGGAAAAAAACGGGTAACATAGAAAATTCGCAATATCTCCCAGAGTTGTTTCAATGGATCGTCTATATAAATAGAATGAAAATGAAAATATGTTTATTGAATTACACTTAAGTACATTGAGCGTTGGCACCACACTAGGCAAAGCCTGTCCCGTGGTTGCCGTCTATTGCGATTGCCATTTTACAAATTTGCCAGTCGAAAGATCGCTTCATACTAAAACTAGAAGGTATCTTAAAATTAGATTCGTAAAGCTTTTTATGAATCTGATAAGTGGATTCATTTGTACAAGTTACAGCTGAAAACAAGTCTGTATTTGAAAAATAAAAAAATGCATTTAAATCTGTTATTATAACCAATTTCATGGATTGGCCACACTCTCAGTGCATCATCATCGCAATCACCAGAAGAATTGCACGGATTATTACTATGGAAGGAGAAGGAGTACAAGGAAGAAGTCACTAAACAGTAGGAGTGTCTTTATCTACAGTCCAAAGTATCAAGTGGCCATTAGAAGACTAGGAAATGATACGCCAATGGTGCACAACTATACAATAAGACGAATTCATTTAGCACTATGCTAAGAAATCGACATTTATAAGAATCGGCTGTTCGGATCCGAAATAGGCTTTAAGAAATTCACCACAACAATGTGAGCTATATGATTCTGCGACATCTTCGTACCTATTTAAACGCCAGAACATATCTCAAAAAAAAAATCATGAAATATCCAGGTTACGGTTTGCTCGAGTAAACCTCAAATAATTAGGTAAAATGTGCCCAAGGATATATTTTCTTAGAGTCCAGAATTAGTTTACGATGGCAGACGAAGAGTATATAAACATATTAACATGCGTGTATTATTAACATGTTCAAAGACAAGATGCCATTCGGTGGGGATCAATAATGTTGTGGGCTGGAATGTCTTCGGAGACCTCTATGGTGATGGGTGTGATAGATGGGTCCCTCTAACCGACATAGAGATTTAAAACGAACTTGCCGTAAATTCGATAGTTGTAGTTGTTCAAATTCCAAATTTAGTTTAATGGCTCCATCAATATACGACTTGATGATTCTGCCAATGTCATGGTTGTATAAAACAAAGAGTAAGTAATATAATAATTAGCCGGTAATATTAATAGTTGTTATGTTAGTATGCGCTTGACATAATATGGCATACAAATGTGTTAATTAATTATGTTTATCATTATTATTATTTATATCTTTTAAATATGTTTTTATTATTATCGTTTCGAAAATATGTAGGTTTAGTTGTGTTGTTCTGTTGGGATTTGAATGAGTTGTTAACGTATATCGAATTGAAATCGAGCGCCCGAGCTATCACAGCTTATTAAAATAATATTAAATGTACGCTGTTTACTACTCAGAAATAAACTCGCAAGTACGCCACCCAAAAGTAAACATGAACTATATCGATACCGTACACTACAATTTACTTAATTTAGGATTTACAAAATGTAGTTTACATCGAATCGTTCACTGAACGGCAGCTGTTGTAAAAAGGAGTAACATAGGCTACTTTAATTTGTAAGGTAAAAAAAATATTATTTTAAATTCCACGCGGATGAAATCGCGGCCAGGTGGTGCCAGTACCGATGAAATTGTTAATTTTAAGTGCTGCATTATCACGTGCCCGGCGGTGAAGGAAAACATCGTGAGGAAACCTGCATATTTTCGAAATAGTTATTAAAAAAAAAAAAATTTCAAAAATATGTGAAGTCCGCCAATCCGCAGTGGGGCCGCGTGATGGACTATGCCCTGATACCCTCTGTACAGAGGAGGCCTTTGCCCAGCAGTGGGACATGTATAGGCTGTTACTTTACTTTACTTTTTTACATAGTAAGCAAATGTGTTTAAATTTACTGGCACAGTGTTTAGCGCTGTGACTAAATAGTAGACGGTTTTAAACAAATTGTATGTATTAAACGGAAACTGTCATTATAATTATAGAAGCTTGAGCCTTCTACGTTGGTTAGAGCCGCATATGTGCGTAATCTATTGAGGGAATAATTATCACCTGTGGATCATTAATGGACCTTGGCGAAATTAAGAGTTCGCATACTAATAGCTGCATAGACAAAAAAAACTATGTAAGGTACTAGGTAAGTAATAAACCTACTTAAACATACTTTTCTTTTCTAAATAATTGAAGTCACAATCTCAGAATGCGTTAATCAACCCACACCATAAATTTTTCTAAATATTTTAAAGCAGTAGTTTATCAAGATTTTAGAAACTTATACTGATCTAGTCTGATGAAATACGCAAATAAAATATGATATTAAAGGCAATATATTTATTATAACGCCTCACACTGTGAGCATAGTTCTTTTTTCACTTAACATAAAAAATATTCACTATCGATAGAGGTAGGTTATTCGTCTTCAACTTGCGATTGTCTCTTTTTCTTTTTCTTCTTCTCGCTCTTGGGCTCCTGAGGTTCTTCTACTCTCTGTTTTCATCTCTTCTTCAGCCTGTGAGGCATCGAGTGATTTCTTCTTCTTCTTTTTCTTCTTCTCCGGTGCTCCCGTGCCGTTGTCCAGCTGATCATGACCCTCATCCTCCGGCTCTGCTTTTACTTTCTTTTTTGGTTTCACCTGAATAATAGATATTATAACTCTAAATCAAAGTGAAACAATAACAATTCCTATCATAAATATAATCACCAAATCCTCTGGATTTTTCTTTTCCAGTCTGTCAATATTTAAAATTTTTGCAAAGTTAATTGGCTATTACATTTTTATATTCACAAAGTTGGCTATTAGATGTTTTATATTAACTATCAGACACGTCAAAGTATTAACACATTTAAAGTTATTGCTGAAACAAATTTGGTAACACTCACATCCTCTTCACCGTCCTCCAATTTCATCTTCTTTGCCGAAACCTGGCCATCTTCTTCCGGAGAGTGTTCCCGTTTTATTGACTTCTTACCAAGCGTACTATCTGCCCCAATTGGATATTGGAAAACTTCACTGTAACAATATAGTACATGCATAATTAACATAGCTATGGGTAGAAGGGTTTCCAATGCTGTTTATCACATATATGACTTAGTTCTATGTAAATAATAAACTTGAAACATACAGCCCATTATGGACAAACTGTTTGAAAGAACCTTTGATATATTGTATTGAGTTAAACGCATCAGTATTTATCAAAATATTTGAGAACTGTTTTTCAAATAGTGCTTTTTACAAATACTATAAAATTGAACAGCAGTTACTTGGTATTTAGATATTGCATGATTGATAAACATTTTAACATATAAACATTCAACCATTGCAATTTTCAGTACAATATATATAAGCAGATAAAATACAAGCAACTTTTATAGGGATAATAGATATAATAAAGAAAAAAATTAAATTTGTTCATTTTTATATCAACACCAGAAAATGACCAAAATAGGTTATGATACTTCAAAACTATATTAATTTTATCATTGGTTTTTATACAGATGTAAAGTAATTTTTAGGTTACAATTTTTTAATTAAAATTAAAAAAAAATTCCATTCCCAAAAATAAAAATATTGAAGTTGGAATAAAAAGCTGATATACTAGACACTACATGCAACTATAAAATATCTCTATGCAGACATGTGATAAAATGTTACAATTAATTAATGTGGGTCTCCTAAGTACTTAATATATCAATTCCCTTAATTTTAGGATGAAATCTTTTATGTAACATAAATTTGCTACAAGTACAAAGCATGCTGATTATAGATTATTTGCTTAAAACAAAGAAAGGAACTTACGATTTACTATGGTATTTCTCGAACTTTGCTTTGGCTTTGCCAGTCCCGCTGATCCTCCTCAAGTTGCCCTCCTCCAGCAGCCTCAGTTTATTCTCCAACTTCACCTTGTGCTCGGCACCAAGCTCGAATGATACATCATCACCGAAGGCGTCCACCCTAGTCATTAGCGCCGCCTTCGCTGCCAGCATGCGAGACATTTTCCCCTTATTCTTCGTGCTGCACTGACCCACTAGCTGCGCGTGGTATATTAGACCGTATTTGGGCGTGTCTTTCTTTGTCTTGAGTGCCCTGAACAGGGCTTTCTCTGCTCCGAAAATCTGTACGGTGGAAGCTGGGTGCTTGGCCAGGTTCATCAAGGAGCCAGCATGTGCTATTAGGCGTGCTCCGATATGCTCCCCAATTAACACGGTCAAATTTGGTGCCATTGCCATCATCCTAGCTTTCAAGTAATCAGTCAAATGTGTCCTGTAGTCAGTTATGGAGATGATCTCGTCACAGAGATTCTGTATGTTGATAATGTCGTCGTCGGAGATCTCTGTCCCCATAGAAATCTCTGCGGCCTCCTTGACTTTCTCCTCCAAATCCTCTGGAAGTATATCTGACAGGTCGGTCTTTGATGCATTATCTCTAGTGCCTATTAACTTAACAATCTTAACAAACAGTGTATTGTCGGTTATGATTTTGCCCAATTCTGGGAAATGCCAACCATACCACTCGCGACATCTCATCACATAGTTATTCAACTCCTTGTCTAAGTCATCTAACAAACATTGTGCTTGCACAATCATGGTGTCGATCTTGTCTGGGGAGAATTTCAGCTTGTACCGAGACAGCGAATGGGCAAGACCTAGGGCCATAGCAGTCATCTCTTTCTTTGGCAGACCCGTTAGTAAACTGTCCATTTGTGAGCGGATACACCTCATCAGCTCCTGGACATTACTGTTTGAGACACATTGCAGGTCAAATTTTTCTTTGATGGCACTACCCAGCTTAGCGTCTCCAACTAGCAATTGATCCTGAACCTCTTTGCATACATATTTCTTCAGAGCCTTTTTGAGTGTCTTGGACACCTTGCCTTCTATGGCGGCTGTGGTTGCCGCTAAAGCTTCAGTGGTGTCTTCAAACTTGATGAAATTCTTTAGTTTCACACTGCAAAACATATAGTTGTAATTAGAAATGGTACAATTAAACACTAAGCCAACTGTTTATTATGACAAAAATAATGATTACACATCAACTGCAATACAAGTTAAAAATTTATATTAACTTATACATATGCTACTGTTATTTCTTTTCTGGAATATTTAATACAAAGCAATTTTTGAACTACACAGTAGTATAAATAAGAAGGCTTAAAATGTGTAGAAAATTAAAATATGTAGAAAAAATATGAAAAGATTGTTGCAGCTGTGGGAATCGAACCCACGTCTTTGGCATTCGCGGTCTGATGCTTTAACCACTAAGCTAAATGGCTGATTGCCACACTGACGAAAATCTTTACGTCTTTTATCTACATTGTTTTTTAGCATTTGAAGCAATTGCTTGGCGCATCCATTGCAACCTTTCCAGCATACAAACAATTTCGAATATTGTTTTACATCGATAATTTGAATGAAAGAAGGCTTATCTAAAGAAGCACCTCCACAGTGAACTGCTCATAAAATAGAAGCACGAGAAATGCAAATCATACAAATTATTTTCTTTATATCTCATTACAAACATTAAAAAATCTTACACCGAAGAAGCACCTTCTGGAGTGTTAAATTCTTGATATAAATCTTCAATCTGTGATAACTTTGATTCATCTAATAACTGAAACAAAAGAATGAATAATTAAAATGTCAGAATCTTGAATTTGGATTTTTTTGCTAGTAAAAGCATATTTTTTTAAAAATATATAGCCAGCCATAGACTATAGCAGATGGGAAGAATAATGTAAGTTTTAGAACGATAATTATTTATAAAAAAAATTTCATTCAGAGTAATTAAGCTTAAAAAAGGAAAGCAGTACTGAAACATACTAATTAATTCATTTGAAAATTCAATGTTTTAGTATCATTCACAGTAATTAAGATGTTTAATTATGCTCTATTGTGTAATTATGTACAGTTTTTATAATAACAGTGACTATTGAATGATTATTCAAACTATTACAACTCTTCAGTGAAAAATAATTCCTCTTAAATTTGCTAATATTGTTAATTATTGGAACTATAAAAGAGTAAATATAAAATAAATATACAATAGGGACGCCAAATGCCTTTACGAGGTTAGAATCAACACGTGTTTCATATACCTTGAAAATAGCGTAGCCCGCTGACGTCTCAAATAGCACCAACATTTTATTCGATTTAACTCACTGACTTTCAATTAAACTTTTCTACTTCAATAATATTAAAAAAAAAAAACACTTTAATAATACAACTTTATCACCCACCGCAGGACGCTAACCATCGCGGTGGCTTTTGAATTGACAGTATGACAGTTTGAAACAGTATTGCCATGCGAGTTTATATTTAAACGAAACTATTTTTAAATGTTAGAAAGACTGCAAATGTATATACTATTAATATGATAATACATACATTAATTAATATCAAATGATATTTCATAATTAGTCAATTGAAAATGTTTTAACTTTCTCGTTATTTGGCACTCTGAGCAATATTTTTATATTGTAGTTTATTTATTGGCCAAGAGTATAATAATTATAATTAGATACACGTAGATCAGAACAAAAGTCTCTACCGATGCAGAGTTATGCCAGTAGTTATCATTATGTTTCAAGAAAAACATCTCTGCAAGGTATTTATTTAACAATTGGAGACATTAAATATTGAAGTGATTCCAGATTGATTACATAATCAGCTATTGCACTTTGCAGTTTGTTTATTTATACTTATTGTCTTTTGTAATTGTACTAAGTCAGAACAAAATAATGTTTTATCAGGAAATTAAAAGTACTTCTCACTTACTTATAAATGAATTAAAAATTTTCGACAGTATTTCTTCTTTTTTGCTTCTTAGAAAAACGGCGTGAAGTGGAAGTTTCATACTTCGTTTTCATGTTTTCTACATGTTTTCATACTTCACGCCGTTCGTGTATAAGATCGTAGTACTTCCCGGACGGGCTTGCCCATTCGTACAATAAAGATTGCTGCGTGGCGCTGTCATGCAACCAAAGTATTGTTGCATTTTGCAAATACAAGATAGGTCCTAAAGCGTATACTAAATATACACTATATACGATACAAATAACATAAAAAGCTTATGATGGTTAAAATTCAAATGTTAAAATTAAAATTGAAAAACCAAATTGCGAAGGTTCCACATGCCCAACTGTACTCTTCGTAAAATAATTTGTATTTCGAATAAAACTTCTTTCTTACTTTCGCAAAGTCAATAGAATTCGGCGGCACATTTACGTACAATGAGTTTCGGTGCGTCTGAATACCTTTAGTCCGAGTCAGCCGAAAATCTGTCGAAGTATAAGCGGTAGCCGAAACAACGGGTTTTGGCTGACGCCGGCCGAAACCAATACTTTGGTCGGACTTTGATTATAATGTGTTTACAATATGTTTTTATTCAAGATTGTAATTAGAACAAAAACCATATATATTTTCTAGAATCTTAAACCGATTGTGAAGACAGGTTCTCGCGCGGTCTCTTTTTGACCATCAGTGTGGGCCTACCACTGGAAGGGAGTGACGACTTATGCGAATGTGTGGGAAGTCGATCGATGCAGGTGGTTTGAGAACGTGATTCAAGGCAATCTGTGGGAGAGGCCTATGTTCAACTGACTGACACAGGTTGAAATGATCATGTTGAATAAAAACCAAGAACTAGAAAATTTACAGACTATTAAAAAAACATAATTAATTTGACTGGTTTACACTGCTTGTGCAGTAGAAGTTGGGTTAAAACATAAGAAGATTCGTTAGACTTTCAAGAAAACAGTTCTCTGTGTCTGGACCGGGACAAAATGCATTAACTCGCAATGTATTTATTTCCGAGTAAACATACATCGATCTTGGTCGCCGATGCGTTGTATGCGGCCGTAATTTACGTCGACAGTTTTCTCATGCGCTCACTGAACAGTAGTAATGAGACCAACATTCCACTGATATTATTTTAAACCCTAAAACAAAATGGTAACGTCTGTTATCGTGTGGCCAGCGATGTTAGTGGCTTTATCGCTTCGGATGTTTCCCGAACTCGGTGACAAGTTGTAACAGATTATATTTTAACTTCGTTGTAATTACATTTCGCAACACTGCCCAATATCTCTAGGTTTGCTACCGGTTTGGTACTGAACACTGAAAACTTTAAAAAGATCTTAGAATAAAATTAAAAAAAGATCTTGAAATTAAAATTGTGTCGATTGTCAATTCAAACTAGTACTCTATTATTATTTATCGTTCATATTGTTTATAATGGTTAGGAATATGTTAGGGCTATTAGCCAACAATGTAACATGCAGTGGAAGTATTGAGTTGAGGTATTTAGTTCGAAAGTGGAAATATCGTACAAAGTAAAGCAACATGCCGTTCCAATATCAGTTTAGTAGTTGGGCAGAAATCTTTGTGCGTAAGTTTAATACCTTCTGAATACCTTTTAAAAAGCTACGTCATCAAAAGATAATTTATGATATAAACCTTACGCGTGTTGCGTCTCAACTGTGGTAGGTCACACAACAGTTTTCGCTGTGACACGATTAGTCAGGTTCTTATGGGTGAGTACTTCGACCTCCGTCGTCTGTTGATTGAGGTAGCCACGGCCTCTTTATTTATTAAAAGGTGGTGACGCATCTGCAACCCTACACCCGTAGGTTTGCAGGGTCAAACCGTAGTCTGTAAATGTAAATGAGCGGCGGTTATCACTTAACATGTGTGTGAATCGCCAGCTCGTTTGCCGCGAAACTGAGCTCCAAGTAACTCACGCTTTTCTTAATGTAATGAAATATTCGTCTCTGTGGTTATCAGCCGTTTAGCTCAGTGGCTAGAGCGTCAGGCCGCGAATGCCGAAGACGTGGGTTTCGATTCCCACAGCGGCGACAATCTTTTCGTACTATTTCTACATGTTTCAATGTTCATTCTTAAGTGCAGAGATTAGCACTATAAAAAACTTTAAAATTAATATATTTTTGTTAATCAAATTATTCCTTATTTAAATTAATTGAAAATTATTTCCCTGTAGTATTGTACCGTACTTGAATCGCACAGCAGCTTTTCCTGCTATTCATCATGAAGCGACGGGCTCATGCTAAGAATATCGAGTAAAAGTATCGATAATTCAGCATTTCCCAGTGGATTAGGGAAATGGCAGTCTACACATATTAGGTCTGACAACTCAAACGGAATTGTCCATTTTTATTTACGAAAAGCAAAACCGACTTCATATATCTCGCTCTGTATTCATTTTATAATTTATTTTCAGGATGTACCTGAAGTATATCCGGAGCCAAAGATCCAATACCAACGAAATTAATATCCCACGAAAGATATGGGAGCTACATCAAACCCAATACAAAAAGAAATTTTAAAATCGGTTCATAAATGACGTAGTTCTGAAGCAAAAATACAAACGAATTGTGAACGTCCTCCTTTTTTGAAGTCAGTCAGTTGAAAATAACAATATTCGAAATTTTGCTTGGAATGTCCAACTCACAAATTTTGAAAGTTTAATAGCATTGGTGCCCACTAGTTATTAGTTAGTATTAGTGCCGATTTCTGTTAGAGCTGCTGCCCACTGTCTTTGGATGGATTCGATTTTCCTATGTCGTGTATCGCCTTGTACGTTGCCCACGGCGTCTAACAGGGACCTATCAGACAACAAATTACGAACAACAATTAAAGTTCCGAATAAAGGGACATTGAGGCCGGGTATTTCTCATTGGATTATTTGTCTTTGGAACAATCTAAATAAAATCTACGGTACTAATGTAATTAAAAGTGCTTTTAACTTTGTATAAAGAATAGTGTATATTCCTCCATCGGAAAATAAGTAGCTTTCAAAGCACTTTAGAATTATTTCTTGACCTTTAAGAGAATTATAATAAAGGCCCATTTACATGGTGCCAGTTTCTTGCACGTTGTATACAATTAAATTGAAGCAATAAATGAGTTGCATGGTCTAAACAATTATTGCGCGCAATTTATTGCATTCAATTATTGCTCTTGTATGTACAAGAAAATGGCATCGTGTAAATGGGCCTTAAGCATTGTGACTTACAAGTCTTTGGAACTAAAAATTTTATATAAATAATAAAATTTTTCCTCAATATCATGAAGCTGTTGCTAGTTTTAAATACAATTATCGTATAATAGTACATCGGAATCATTTCAGTCTGTCGGTTATCTCTCAAGAACCTTTCTTCCCCATCGGTTATCGAATAATTGTAAGGTAACTGATATCTATTCGTTTATAAACGCTGCTAATAAACATTACCTTTTTGCCAAAATGTTATTTATATAGTTTTTTTGTGTATCATAGTTTGTTTTACATTTTTTTTTCATATTTTTCTATGTAATTTTCTATTTTTTTTGGGTTATGGCAAATAAAGTATTATTATTATTATTGGGGGGATATTCATTTGTTTTCTCGTCTGGTTGGGTTTATAAATAAAAATAAAAATATAGATATATATTGCATATATAAAATAAATATTATTATAATTATTATTACATTATTTTAACCATCACTTATTGTTATTGAGTAGCGAGCGTTGAGGAGCGATTTAATGTATCGCCTCGGAAACGGTATTGAAGCATTTTCTAAATGTTTCTAAATGAGGTCTGGGAAATCAATTTTATTTGGCAGTTGTGAGAGTTTAGTGGCGGGGTGTCACTCTATTATGTACTATTTATTCTCCAGCAACCGAATTTCTCTCGTTTAATAGAAATAATCGATAGAACAGTTAAAATACATAACGGTATTGCGTCATGTTTTACTAAAAATAAATGATTTTACTTAAAATTTATGTATCTTTACGTATATAAATATGAGTTTGTTTTAATGATTAAGTTGTAGAAATACTTCTTCTGTGCGGGAATCAGCTGTGATGAACACCACCTCAAATTAAACTGGTGCAATATAGTCAAGAAATTTTATATTTTACCAGAAAATCTTTTCTCTAAACTTTCAACGCTGCATGCTAACATTAAAAGTCAAATTAATTTGAGTTCAATTAACAAGCGATCTACTACATACAACAAGCATTTCTCAATTTCTTATACACTTGAAGAATAAAACTTTTCTAGTTTCTCTTTGAAGCAATATTCATAATTTATTTACACACGATTATTATTCGTGTTGCGTAACTGGTTATTATTAATCACAATT